GCAGGAGGGGGCGCGTCGTCTCCCCGCGTCGCCCTTGAGGAATCAATGGAAGGCTGAGCGGCGGTAGGCTTGGCATTGATTTCCTGCGGGAAACTAAGGCGTTGTGAGGACGACGAGGCGCGGGGGTCGCTGACTCGACAAGCCCGTTGTTCTTTCACGCCAAAAATGATTGCTCCGGCGCCCCCCCCCCCCAGCGCGACGGGTTCGGCCTGGGTCCGCCAGCGCCAGTTTCGGGCCTAACCGGTGAAATGGGCTTCTGGGGGCGCGACTGGGCCGTTTTTTGGGTGTTGGCGCTGAAAAGGGGGCCTGGGGGGCCTGCTGGGGGCGCGGCTGGTGATGCTCTTAGATTGGAGTTGACACGTAGCACGTGGTGTAGATGCTCCGAGAACAACGTCGTGTACTAAATCATGGTTCCCGCCCGCGTCGGTTCGAGCAGCGATCGCAAGTGCAGATGGAAACCGCTGTCAGGCATTGTGTCAAGCAAGTGATAGACAGGAAGCGGTTGATGATTTTTGTTTGTTTTGATTACAAAATTGTCACGACCCAACAAAGATGTAACGAACAAATGGATCAGTACTAAGGATCGGATACAGTTTGGGGTTACAAAGAGATTTGAGGTGAGAAATCAACAAAGCAGAGGGTAAGCTATAAGGAGCAGAAGATGGAACACATTTTTTTAATGATAGATTTTTTTTTTTTGAATCTATTCATTGTCTTGCTCTAGGCTACCTCTCCTTCTATAGCCCACTCTGAAGTGTAGGCCATGAAAAGTATAGGGGAATGATACCCAGACCTGGCCAAATGTGCCGGCCCGCCACGACACGACTCGGCCCATGCTAATCGTGCCAGGCACGGCACGACCCACGGAGGCACGTTTAATAAGCGGGCCATGCTGTACCGGCCCACGTGTTGCGCCTTCAGGCCCAGACACAACCTATTTAGTAAACGGGCCGGCAGGTTGGCCCGTTTAGCACGCTGGAGTGCACATTTTTAGCCTGTTGGGCTATTTTTAGGCCTATTGGTTGTACTAGCACAAATGCCCGTGCGTTGCAACAGAAAAAAAAATCCGTTTCACAACATGCCATGGGAAAGATTTTGATCTATTCATAATGGGACAACAATATCTTATGAAAAAATATGTATCATTTCAGGATCACGAGTTCACGGCACGGAGCTTAGGACATGTGGTATGATTCGTAGTAAATGATCTGATTGACAACGTTTTCTTATGAAACGATTTTGATCAATTCATAACTTCATGGCAATATAAAGAAAATCAAAAGTAATGAAATTGAATAAGTAATAAAAATAACATTGTGTGCTTCAATGGAAAATAAAACTAATGCAAATTTAGTAAGGAATATTAATACCTTTGGCAACATTCGGGGAAAAAAATCTGGTTCATGTTGGTCGGGTCCAGGAATTATGTCACGGGACAAGGAGGCTTATGTAAAAAAAGATGCATTATTTGAAGATCACGACAGGGAGCTTAAAACATGGGGTACGATTTGAAGTAAATTGATCTTATTGACAACATTTTGTTATGAAAAAACTTTTGTTTTATTCATAACATCATGACAATATAAAGAACATTTAAAGTAGTAAAAATTACATCGTGTATTTCAACAGAAAATAAATTTGGCACAAACTTAAAAATATTAGTTCCAATTGCGACGATCTACCAAGCATTAAATCATTGTGCGTCCCCTCCTTTGATTACGGGGACTACTTCCTATAAATTCCTTTTTTTTGTTTAATGCAATTCCCAATAATTGTGCAACGTCCTCCTTTTATTCTTTAGATGCTACACTTATGCGCCTATCCATGGATCGTACGGTGCAGCTTCCTTATTATAGGGATGCAATGGTAGCTGCACTTAATCCTCCGGATTTGTATTTTAATTCTTTCATAGCAGCCCACAATTTCGGGTTCCTTTAATTATGCACCATGCAAAGTTCAGATATCAGCCCACAAATCTCCTTCATTTAATTATGCTCCATGCAACATTCAAATATAATCCCACAAATCTCGTAATATAATACCTCCTTTAATTTGTGTAGCAAGGTGGGACTATTAAACATGTAATATCTAAGGTCATTAAGACCGCGGGGTTGAAAATATATTTTTGTGCCCGCTGATCATGTTTACTTGCGTTGACGGACTTTGGCCCATCAGTTGGAGCGCCGGGCAGAGGCCTAATTGTGTGGCCTTTGTGCTTGTCCGAAATAAAACTAATACAACCATCTCTGATCAAGGTGGTTTGGTTGTCTAGTTGGTCATTGTAGTCAGAGTGATATTGTGAGGTGTGGGATTTGAATCCCAGGTTAATGTATATTTTTTGCTGCATTATTATTAGGTCGAAGGCCCAACTTAGCAGCCACTGGGCCACAACGTTGCGCAGCCCACATATGAAATTCTGGGTGAATAATTTATTTATTTACGTATGCACAAAAATTTAGTACCACCTCCGATAGAAGAAAATATCTATGAGATACGACAAAAAATCTTAAAAATATGTTGATGGACCAAACCATGACGGACCAAACCTTTAATAGTAGGTATAGATATAGATTTTACATGTATATTTATATAAAAAATTCTGAAAAAATATATAAAAAATTAACAGGCCCAAGGCGTGCCACGTGCCAGGACCAGCTCGTTTAACCCGTGCCATGCCTGGCCCATGGCGGGCCGTGCCGGCATGCTCGCGGGCTGGCCTGGTTGACCCGGCCCGTTTGGCCAGCTATAAAATGATACTCCCCGCCCACGCCGTCCTCCACTGCCGTACAGTTTGCCGGCGCTAGCGCCGCCTCACCGACGATTTGTCTTTCCTCGCCGCCCGCGCCGGCGCCCGCCACCTCCCACCACTACCGTCCTAGAATCGGGCAGCACCCTATACGTAGCGCTGGACTCTGTCTTGGGGAGCCAATGCCTCGCCCGGTACCTGAAGTTGCTGCCCGAGCCCGACACCAAAGTTTCCTGCTCGCCTCCTTCTCCTGTTCAGGCAATATCCGGGTCGACCTCGCGCGGCTGATTCAGTCACCGTGCCAGCTTGGCTGGAGGTTTGCACGGAAGATTCGGGTATGGATTCCTTGTTGGCGGCATCGATCCGTAAAGGTTTGCAGTTTTGGATTTAGTGCTAGATCTAAGAGAATGTATATGTTGGAACAGCATCGAAGAAGGGAACGGGCTCGATGAATGATTCTGGGTTCTCCAGCTTTAACTTCTCTAGTGGTCTACCTCAGGCACGCATATTTTGCAGGGATGCTGGGATGTCAAGTTCTCTGCGGTGTGACTAACATTTTAAGCTTCAGAATGTTTAATGACATGGACTGCAGTTCATCTTGGTAAAGAAACATAGTTTCAGTAAAATTCCATGCCTGCTTTTACTTGGTTGTGCCAACCTCTACAGACTTATCTGACGAAGTTTGAGAAATCTTACATATTTCATAGGGATTGAGGAATGCCTAGTTCTCTGCCGTGTGACTAACATTTAAGCTTCAGAATGTCTAATGA